GCTGCACGTGGCTGCACCGAAGGACGAGTCACGTCGCCACGCATTGCGTCAGACTCGCCAGACAGGAAGGCGCCGATTGCTTCGACGGGCTCGCTGGGCGTGCGCGACAGAAAGGCGCTGTCGCGTGATGGCGCCGTAGAGTTGTTCATCGCGTCAGGCGGGCTCGCGTGCTGGCCTTGACACAGATTGCCTTTTTCAGAGGCATAGACGTTCGCTGTGGACTCGCAGGCATAACAGCACCCCCGCCGCCAGACAATGCGCCGGAAAGACGAGCTGCTTCCACGTGGCTCGGATGCCAGGCGCGCTCGTTCGCCAGGTCCCTCCAGGTTCGCCTCCAGGGTCATCGGGAGAATGCAGCTCCAGATTCCGTTTTGGGAACATATCCCATTCTTGAGGACGGATCCCAGCTCCACTGGCTTGTCGCCACAACTTGTCGGCCAGCTTCGCTCGTCTCTTGTGACGATCTTTGGTCTCAGCACTTGTCAATGGTTCTGCAACTTGTCAAGAACGGTTCGACAACAGACGACACTACACATACATACAGACAACACACGACACTCGGTCGTCCGACAGAACACCAGACAAAGTATATTACAACATATACCTAGCTACGTGTCTATCGGAATTTCGTTCCCTCTACATCAAGAGGCACATGTGGGACACAAGACTCTTAAAATGAGAACTCATTTCTTTTTACACGTACAGCAACGTAACGAATTAGAATAGAACATAAGGTTGGCTCCTTTAGCTCATTCTGAACGAGAGCGCTAAACTAAGGTCATGATGAGGTCAAAATTTTGCCCCTAATCGCCAGCTAGATACCGAAAGGTGGAGAAGGTACTAACTAAACGCACGGCTCAATGCGTCTGCATTAGCGTTTAGATTTTTTTTGTTGCAAACGTCAAAGTTGTGCTGTTGGAGTATCATGCTCCACCTCAGTAACCGGCCACTTTTAGGCGACTATACCTATGCGGTACTAAGGGCTGCTCGTACTTGCGACATGGCACATCTGTGTGACTAAAATAGGGAAGTCCAGATTTCTCATACAAAGAAACATTCTTCTCAGGTCCTTCTTCTGGACTTCACTTAACCTATGCTCTAGGTTCAACTGCTCCAAGATTACCTCCGATCTCCTTTCGATTCCATCACTAGAACTCCAAATTGCTGCTCCCTCTTCCTCTGAAGCATTCGAAAGCAGATTTACGACCGCTTGACGTTGAACGTGTGGTTTCATCAAGTTACTTGTGGTAAATTTTGTTCAGGCCGCCTTCCTAATTTCACTTCATAATTGGTAGCAGAAAGCTTCATGTGTGCCTTCCACTTGTCCGCGGATTTTCCCCGCTCTTTGACAAGTGTCGCATGAGCGTACAAAGTCTTCGATATCCTTCCAGCATTTCGGCCAATAAAACTCAAGGGAAACTCTCGCCTTGGTCTTTCTTATGCCGAGATGCCCTGCCCATGCGTTTTCATGCGCCTATTCCAATAGTTGGCGAACAATACTTTTGTGGCACCAAGAGCTGCTAATACTTGCGACATTGCGCATTTGTGTAGCTCCGATACAAAAGCCCTGCTTTTCTCAAAAAAAGACGACATTCATTTTCTTTTTCCTAAGTTTACGCTTTCCATTAGCGCTTTTATCGAGAGGTCCTCACGCTGCTCTCGAATGAGCGTTTGTCGATCAACCCTCGACAGCTCACTCCAACTTTCCGCAACAGGCGAGAGCGTTGCACCCCTCTCGCTCTGACTCAATGGCGCTATGTCGTCTCCCCCTGCTACGGAAACCACGCCAGTCGCTTCGGCGACAGGGCCGCTCGAGTGAGTGCTCAAATGACTCACACGGAGAATTTCGTGTCTGAGGTTCCGTCGACTCGCCTACAACGAACGGTAGCAGTTGGTCCCGAATTCTATAACCGCTGACCTGAATCGTCGGAGAAGCTACGCTAGGCGCCTGCGAACACTGTAGGATTGCCAATTCTATTCGTTTCAACTCAAGGCGCTCCCGTCTCTCGGCCTCCTCACGGCGTTCTCGCCTTTGAGCTTCTTCACGTTCGCGAACTTCTCGTCCTTTCAGCTTCTTCACGTTCGCGAGCTTCTACTTCTCGCCTTTCAGCCTCCTCGCGGCGTGCTTTGATATCCTCCCAGGCCTCATCGACTTCCTCAGCCGACACTCCTTCATTCTTGATGATCTCAAGGATTGCTTGCTTTCGTTTCGCACGGCCCAAAGTAATGCCGAGTTACTCACAAATTTCAATGAGTTCCTTCACTTTAAGGTTCTCCGTCGTTCACACTAGCCTCTTGCTGTTTGCATCTGTTGAGAATTTACTTGCCGTACCCACGATAAGTCTACTAGCAAAACGCGCAAGCAATTTTTAACACTCCCTTGTTTACCCCCTCCGCATTAACTTTGGTTTCAAAGCACTTCGTCTTTGCTTGAAACGATCAAAGTGCACTTCAATGCTTCACACAGGCCTTCTCTAAACTACTATAACCTGAGCTAGAGTAGTCTGGTGAACTGAGGGGAAAAGATCAGACACTCACCGCATCGATGACGCTGACGCCGGCCGATCCGGCGGCTGCCAACCACTGTCGCGAAGCGCGCCTCCGATGACGTTACGAAGGGCGCCACGAATCTCACCGCTGCAACCACTGTTTCGAAAGACGGCGACGCCAACACGGTCCCGAAGACGCCACTGCTTAGAACTCCGCCGGGGAGGTCACCAGCCGTTTGGTAGCGTATGTTTCTCAGCTCGCGACTGCTTCTGCGCGGTGCTGATAGACGAGTGGACGAGACGACGGTGAGTTAAACAAGGTTTATGTACAGCATATATACAGAGGCGTTACAAATTCGGCACTGGGGCCGACAGCTTAGAGACCCGAAGAGCCGAGCCTCTCCTCTCTAACACATAGGTCTACTGCTAACACATAGCTCAACTGCTCGCGACGCGCCGCAGGGCTTCTTTTATATGCACCGGGTGGATTATTTGAGTAACCAAATGTTCAACCAGAAGCGCGGCTGGTCGTGAGGTCAGACTCCTCCAATGGCGTCGCCGCTGGGCCGCGTCTTCTCATCGAATCTGGAGCCGCTGCGCTGCACGTGGCTGCACCCAAGGACGAGTGACGTCGCCACGCATTGCGTCAGACTCGCCAGACAGGAAGGCGCCGGCTCGCTGGCTGAGGTGACTCACTGCACGTGCGCGGCAGAAAGGCGCCGTCGCGTGATGACGCCGTTGAGTTGTTCATCGCGTCAGGCGGGCTCCCGTGCTAGCCTTGACACAGATTGCCTTTTTCAGAGGCATGGACGTTCGCTGTGGACTCGCAGGCATAACACCGCGCGTTCGTCCCTGCGTTCGTCCATGCGTCTGTTTCTCCGTCTGTCCGTCTGTGCGCTGCCATCCGTGCATCCGCCCGTGCGACTGTACGTGCTTTCGCCCGTCCGTCCGTGCGTCCATCTGGTCTTTCGTGCGTCCACCCATCCGTCCCTGCGTCCGTCCCTGCGTCCGTCCCTGCGTCCGTCCATGCGTCCATCCGTCCATCTGTGCGTCCGTCCTTGCATCCACCCGTGTGGCCGTCCGTGCGCCCATCCATGCGTCCGTCCTTCGGTCTATCCGTCCAATTGTCCATTCGCTTCGTCCGCACTTGTCATCATTCCCCTCGTGGATATGCTGTGACTTTTTTTTCTTTTGTATGCCATGGCGAAAAAATTTTGGAGGGAGAGGGCGTAGACCTGGTGTGCCACCCTCTGGCTGCGCCACTGGTATAGTCAGCTTTCTTTTTTTCGGTGCCCTGTCTTTGAACAGCTATCAAATGTTACGAAGCTGTCTCTTGGCGTAAGCCAGACTCTTATGTATGAGAAGTCTCCGGGATGTTTTCGCGTGACGCAAGTACGAGGTCGGCGGGCATCCGTGTGCGATCGGAAGTACTGCGAGCGCAAGCGATCACACTGGAATGCGGGATAACGCATGTGTAAAAGACAATGCGCTTGAACGTATGGAACAAATTTCGACGATCGACTGGCCTGTACTCGCCTGTGCTGTGGTGCTTTGTTTTGTTTGACAAGGTACAAGTTCGCATACCAGAGAGTTCGAATCTTACCGATTTTCCCGTTGAGGTCTTTACCGTCACAAACGCATCTCGGCGGAACTTCGCGTTTACAGTATTACGAGTGGAAACGGCGCTGGTCATAAGTTCACGTTTGAACTACTAAGAGATATGACGCTCCAGTGTCTTGTCATGCAGCTTCAAGTAGGCCCTTTACATGAAATAACATGCTATGATTGATATGTGGGGTTTAACGCCCAAAACCACCATATGATTGAGAGACGCCGTAGTGGAGGGCTCCGGAAATTTCGACCACCTGGGGTTCTTTAACGTGCACCCAAATCTGAGCACACGGGCCTACGACATTTTCCGCTTCCATCAGAAATGCAGCCGCCGCAGCCGGGATTTGAACCCACGACCTGCGGGTCAGCAGCCGAGTACCTCAGCCACTAGACCACCGCGACGGGGCACATGCTATATGAAGCATCACAATCGTCATCATCATAACAATTATTATTATTATTATAATTATTATTATTATTATTATTAGTAGTAGTAGTAGTAGTAGTAGTAGTAGTATTTCCAATTGTATACGTTGATGATATTAAGATATTTAAGGAAATTCATTCCGCTAATACCTGTTGCATGCTAGTCAGATTTTTCTTTTTCTTTTTATCTTTTTTGATGACGCAAGAGCAGTAACTTCTCCCTGAACATCGCCTGCTGTGACATCACCACCACCTGCTGCTAAAACTGTCACGAATTGTCTTTCGCAGTACTTCTAACGTTAGTTAATACTTCGTTTATTCTGTCTCGTTAGGTAAGGTTTGCGAGTTTCAGCCAACTAACCTGGAGAAACTCGCTGAAATGAAGCTAATGCAACTGTCTAGCGCTAAGCCGTATATATTATTGCATTACATTAAATCTACATTCTCGAATAGAAACTTCCTCATATTACTCACCTGTGCAACAGCAGTTGCGTTCAGCGTTACCCGTGTTGTTTTGTGTGGAAGCGCCCATACGTGTCGACAGCTTTGAAAAAAAAAAAATAGTCCTCAGTTCAGAGCTCATTCTTGCACCACTGTCACTTCTGCCCATATAGCTAAGTGCTGCACCGATTTTCTGACACGACACATGACACTTTATTCTATTTCTTTTGGTTGCAGGTACCCGAAGAAGAAAGAGTGCAAAAAGAGCCCCTCAAAGTTCTCAACATATCAGAGATGGAGGCCCCTTCTTTCGCATAGAGCATATTTCTCAATCTTTTTACAGCTGCCAAACTGTCTGGAGACGCTCGCTAAGGTTAAAGAAAAGAACACTGCACTGACAATAGCGAGCTAACATACACCGTGTAAATGCCTGTACGTTGGCAGACACTTGTCTCATGTTGCTTACGCGATCACGTCACTTGGACGAAAAGAAAATGAATGTATCGAATAACATCGTTCACGAAGCTGTGCTGTAATCGGCACTTACCTTTCTTTAAAAAGAAGAAGTGCGTAAAGTGGGTCGTGATGTTTTAACACAAAAATAATCTACAAACAATCGCCGTGGATGACTCGCAATATACCACAGTTAAAGCGCCAACTTAAATGGAGCAAAAAGAACTGTGCCCCGCCGCAATTTATCAGTGAAATTGAAAAGCAAGCTGTCATAAGCTGCCTGCAGTTCAAAATACTACTACTTTAAGACGGTACTTTCTGGCTTCACAAAAAATGCACCGGCAAAGTTTTGGGGGCTACTTGAGCGAAAAAAAGAGACCGGTGACGGAACTGGTAAAATGTTGTACTGGTGAAAACTGGTAAAATGGTTGACGAAACTACTCTAGAAAAAAGGTTACATAAAATCGCTCAACACTTCAACAACTACTTTCACAGCATTTTATTCCACTCAGACGTAGGTAACTTGTTTTATTCGAGTGCTTTAGGAGCGCATGGAGTAGACTATTTCATACAATGGTACTGTGTCAATGCCTTTGAATTTAAAAACAGTGAAATCCATGTGGCCCAGAATATATCCCAAATACGTTTCTGAAGCAGAAGTTATTGCTCTATTTTTTAAATACTGTTTCGAGCTTCCTTGTTATCCTCTTAAGTGCCCAAACACTGGAGGACCGCTCAAGTAGTGCCTGTTTTTAAAAAGCGAAATCATTCATCGGTAGAAAACTATCAACCAATATCATTAACTTCGTTTTGCTGCAAACTAATTGAGCATATCACAGAGTTTTTACCCAAATCACAGAGTTTTATCCAAATCACAGAGTTTTATCCAAATCACAGAGTTTTTAGAAAGAAATTCAATTTGAACAGGTTGCCAGCACGAATTCATAAAAAGGCTATCCCACTATGACACAACTGCTAACTGTAATTCATTCATTTGCGAAAAGTATAGATAATAATGGTCAAGTGGACGCTCCTTTTTCAGATTTCAGTAAGGCATTCGACCAAGTAGTTCATTATAAACATATTCAGAAACTTGGAGATTACAATCTTCCAACATTATAATTTCTTGGGTAGAAGCCTATCATTCAGATCGGGTGCAGTTTGTTGCTATTGAAGGTATAAACTCGAGCTGTCTTCCAGTAACATTCGGTGTACTCCAAGGCAGCGTCCGGGGTACACTATTATTTTTGTTTATAAAAATGACATTGTCACCGTCGTTACACCAGGTACACAGATAAAGTTGTTTGCGAACAATCCTGTTTCATTAAAGCAAATATCTGCAGTGCATGACAAAATAGGGCTTGAAATAAGTTTGCAGAACGTACAATCTTGGTGTGACAGTTCAGGCATGGTTTTAAACAAGGACAAGACAGTAAGTTTTCGTATAACATGCAAAAAAACCCCACGAAAATATACCTACCCACTGGCCACTCCACCTCTTACGGAAGTTTAAATTACAAATACTTAAGTGTAACATTCACGAACAATTGATCGTGAAACACGCATATTAGCAATGTTTGTTTCTCCTCCTTCCGTAAATTTGCTTTCTAAAACACAACCTTCGCAGTTCACCTGCAAGCATTAAATTACTTCGATACATGGCATTCATTCGTACCGAGAAGAGTTATACGCTTGTATTAAATGGCACCCATACACTTGGCACAACATTAAAATGTTGGATAAAATCCAGAGAAAAGCTGTTTGGTTTATTTACTCTAAGTGTAAGCGCACCGATTCTCCCACACAGCTCATTATATAAATGTCATTCCGCTGCTCGAAACACGCCACCAGAAGCTTCGCCTCAACTTTCTACAAGCATTAATTAATCATGAATTATCCATAGACCCCACGTCATATGTGCCCCCTCCCCCCGCCCCCTGTCCACGAGGCGTACACCTAACGATCACACACATGCATTAACCCCTCATTTTGCAAGGACAGATACTTACAAATATTATTTCTTCCCGAGAACAGTGACGCAGTGGAACTATATGAATGAAGCTTCCTAAGAAGTAGCTCATTACCACTGTCTTATTTTTTGTATCACCGTATTCTTTGTATTCCTTGCATTTGATTCTTATTATCTTCATGTTACCTTATTTATATATTGATATTATGTTAATTTTTGTTTACATATTAGTGTTCTTTGTGCATTATGTTTGGAGCTTTGTATATTGTTTGGTCTAACTGTATTGATGTTTTGTATTGGACTTCCCGTTTTATATTTATAATCAGTGCTCTTCCTGCAAGTACCGAATTCTAGTCTGCAGTATGTTATAAAAAATAAAAATAAATAGCGTTATATCACCCACGCTAGGACATTCACAGACGTGCTAAAACTACTGTAATCATTAGTTATTGTACCTGATATAACTTGGAAACGGTTGCCGATGTGGGCTTTCTTTCTAAACTATTGTATGAGATATATTTGATTTTGTATCCGATATTTATGACGTCCCCTTGAGCAAGATGCCGTCAGCTTTTCCTATATTCTCAATGTCTCTCATAGGCATGACCACTAGCACCGCAGCCTTACCAGGAGCCCACCCCGGGAAAAACGAGGGTAACATAAGTACTCAGGCTACTTGTTAAAATGAACAAGAACATGTTTGGCGAAAACATGGATTAGAATCATGCCACAACTGGAAGACATTCAAAGCGGCACCCAGTGGGTACACATACGCTGTTTAAGATGACGCAACTGAACTAAGAGATATTTCTCGTTAACAAGCGCACACTCGGAAGAAATTTATCAGATTTGTTTATTAGAGCCACTTGCTTTCTGGACGCATTCAAAGCGATGTTAAAATAAAGATATTAAATAAAGTACGCGATTTTGTTTAAGAAAACGTCTTATTTATTTCCCGTTCTTTTCCAATCTCTTATAACTATATATATATATATATATATATATATATATATATATATATATATATATATATATATATATATATATATATATATATATATATATATATATATATATTATATATATATATATATATATATATATATATATATATATATATATTATATATATATATATATATATATATATATATATATATATATATATATGTATGTGTGTGTGTGTGTGTGTGTGTGTGTGTGTGTGTGTGTGGTGTACACTTCGGAAACATAGCGATGTTAAAATAGAGAGATTAACTAAAGTACGTCACTTTGTATAAGACAACGTCTTTTTTATTATTGTCCTCTTCCAATCTCTTATTACGAAATATATATTAGGTCCATACTTTAGAAAGCCCTTGGCGATATCTGCGTCTAATGTTGTACAGCGTTTTAGCGAAGTTCTCCGGTTGTGATGGTGCATTGTCTTTGTTTGACAATTTATCTAAGTACGCCAGGCTAACGAGCAATAGAGTCACTCAGCTGTGTGTAATAACAAACTGCGCATTAAGTGTTAGGCCCACCAAGCACCGAGCTGTGTGATGCTACATAGAGCGTTCAGCCTCGAAATGCAGACTACTTCCACGTGAGCTTGGGCTCGTATAACTGTGGGGAGCGAAGTTGGGTTTATGCTCGTCATTTATGGTGAGAGCGTGGCCTAGTAATGGAATCAATCAATCGATCGATCGATCAATCAATCAATCAATCAATCGATCAATGAATGTAACTTTGTTTTCATGAACATAATTATGAAAACACAAAGATTGTTTGGACTCGTATAGCCTGAAGTGGCTAGAGGTCGGTCAAATACGATGTGCAACAAAGAATGTACAAGGCAGCTTTGCTTGAGGGATGAAACAAAACCGATCATATAAACACAGAGAATACACGTGTACACTCTACCTCGTAAACATGTATACTTATTAGCTTGTAACTATAGCTCGCTATACATAGGCACTTATTTAAAAAAAGTACGTAATAAAATCAAATCAAACAGACATACACACAAGCTTACGTCTTTTGACTCGATAGAAAAAACGACTTGCTCTGTTGATGACTACGTGCGAACGACGATTTAACTCCTATGGGTCTCGGGGCACGGATAGAAAACGAATGCAGCGAATTCACTTTCGAGCGATACAACGACCGTAGCAGTACATCAAGTCATTAATATCAACATAAAGGCAGTATTGGATGTTCTGTTTGTCTTACAGGATAGATCATCGACTTCTTGGGACTCCGTGATGAAAGGGCAATATGAGCGCAGGGATTTTTACCTCGTCTCTGAAAGCGGAGACATACCTTTGCTTCCAGGAACATGATTTCCTCGGAGGCGTTCTAAAGAATAAATAGGCTCATTGAGTTGGCTTCGTGAGTTGAGACCTGGATAGCTTTACAAGAGCCAAGCCTTCACGCCGCAAGTCTTCGTTCATAGTGTAAATCTATTACCGTGCCTTTCTTCGCGGCGCAGGAAAAAGCAACGGTGCAGCAGATATGTAAGCGGCGTATTCCGGACGGCGCGTCGTCTTCGTGACCTTTATTGAATGCCTGCTTAAGGAAGAAAAAAATGGCAACGTACCTGCATGCTTCACTGGCAAAGGTCGTCGAAAGACGATAGCCTGCCGTCTGGAGAGAAAGGATAAAACGTTTTTTTTTTTTTTTTACGTTCTGCGCGAGGAAATTGATGAGTATGCACTGCGTGAGGTATGGACGTCACTTCGCAGTAAATGTTTTCTAGAACGTAAAGCAACTGGTAGGTGTCAGAACCGTAGTTTCAGTTAAAGTTTTAGTGCAGCCAAGAATACACCTTTTTTTTGTCATATCGTCGTATTGCCAGCGTTGCGTAATAAGCACTGCGGTCTTTAGAATTACAAATCTATGCATTTTAGAAATAATGTAACGCACTACTTAATGCCCCCGTATTGATGTTGCACCCAAATGTGATTGCCATTTGTTATTGTTTTCGATCGACAGTGGTCACTAGTATAAACGTGGACGGGCGATCGAAATGGGTGGTTTTTCAGCGACGAGTTAAGACTTTGTGTGCCTGCGTGTGTGTATGTGTGCGTGCGCTTTTCGGTGGACGCCACCGTTCAAGGCCATAAAACGTGTATGTACCTTTCATAAAAATTCTGTATCATCTCAGCGTCGTGAGGTTTACAGCTTTCGTCGAACATCTACCTTCACAAAGAGCAATTGCTGATCAATTTATCATTTTTTAGCTAATGCTTTTGTAATAAACTCAACTTGATATGAAAGTGCCACAAGTACTCATAAACAAAATAGGCGTAAACGTATTGGTGTGTCATTGTAGTTTACGAGTGCAAGTAACCATATTAACAGCGTTGTCACGTTTATAAAGTTCACATGTGGAAGTGCGAGATATAGACGGGGGGACAGGGAGGTTAGCTCAATCCGTTTGACCACCCTGTGTTGAGGAAAGGGCTAAGGAAAATGAAAGTTAACTAGAAACAGATGTTGCGAGAAAAGCGGCAAATAGCAAAAAAAAGGTGAATGTAAAGAAGGATACGGCGCTGCTTAGTCTGCCTCTATCGGTTTAAGTGGCGCTTTCAATGCTTTCTATGGAAAGAAAGGTCTACACATGCACTACAAAGCAAGTGAAATATTTCTATTGTTCATAGCTTTGTGCTGTGCATACAATTCTTAGACATTACAAGCTATCCACGTTTGCTGTGTTTCTCAAGTGTATATAGGGCATAATTTTCAAGACCGGTCTGTTCTCAGTGCCCTGCATCCTTAACGATAAGGCGACCCAAAAGTTTCAAGAATGCGCCGTTCCTGCTCTTTTCGACGAGTTCTTTTCATTTCTCTCATCCTTTTTTACAGCGAAGCTGTATATGGCTAGGAGAAACGAAAAATCATTTGGCACGGTGTCACGAGCGGTCTCCATTGGCGATGCTATCAGTTACGTCGTTCTCAGCGTCGTATCCAAGCACGAGTGCCATTGGCTGCGCTGTGAGTGACGTCGTCCATGCCGTCACTACCGTGGCGCCGAGAGTGGACGCATTAGTTTCTATTGACAGCTTCCACATGGGTGAGCCACAAATTCCACGAACTCATGACTAGCGGAAAAGTTTAGAAGAGCGCCATCAGTGGAAACGTGAGAGAGCTCGCATTCCCCGGGCCGATGCTGCAGTCCCGGCACAAAAAACACGCACAAAGGGCCGAGTGCCGGCAGCGACTGCGTACCGATGATCCGGCAGCATTCTAAGAAACGGGAGTGCAAGTAACCGGGTGGCGGGCGGATCTTTCAAACTACGCCACCGAGTTAGCTCGCGATGCCAAACGCTTGCAACAACGGCGCGCCCAAGAAGTGGCGTTGTGGGCACCTTATAGTGTAAACGTCACGATTGCGGGAGCGCGTTCGCTGGGACGAACTACCACTTTTGGCGAGAATTTCTTCAGCGGCACTTTGGCTTCGGCTGCGACGTCTGTGACTGTCTGTGGTTTGACAACAACCTGGCAATGATCCAAGGGATCCGGTATCTACAACAACGGAGCAATGCTATGGAGGTACTGACGGGGTGGTTCCCAGCTGCTCCCGAAATCGGTCAGTTTCGGGCCTGTGGGACGTGCAAAGAAATGCTGATAAACAGCAGTCTGCCAAAATTAAGCACCGTCAACAGCTACATTTATTCACCAATTACATCGCATTTACCTAAACTGAATGTCGTTGAGAAATAAACAGTGGCCCCGCGTCTGCTTTCATGTGGCAACGGACATTTTGCGATCATTGAGGGACAAGTTGTCAACTTTTTCATCAACACGCAAAACAACCCAAAATGTCTGCGCCGTAACATCGCCGACGAAGTAGCATTCAGGGTATATATCAAGCACCGTCTCCTGGCAACACCAAGGCTGAACGTTTCAGCTTCGCTGGTTAACCATTTGTACGGGCTGCTTGGGCCACGATTTTTAGGGGCGAAGATCCTTAAGGCGTGAGTCTGTCTATCCTCCGTTGTCGTACGTAGCCAACGGTGGCACATACTCGATCTAGAGCAAGTATGTGCCACAGGGGATGCGAGATGGGAGATGGCAGCCCTTGGAGTGTTTCGTAGATGGACGCATGGATGGACAGACAGACTAGAAGACGGACGGACAGATGGACGGACGCGCGGACGTACGGACGGATGAACGCAAGGACAGAGAGACGGACGCATAGATGGGCGCACGGATGGTCGCGCGGATGGACGAAAGCAAGAACGAACGGACGGACAGAAGCACGGACAGGCTGATGGACGCTTCACCCCACTCATCATCATTCACTCCGTAGATATGCTGTGATTTTTTTTCCTTCCTCTTTCTTGACAAGTTACTTAGTAGACCGATTCATTAGGCTACATTTAAAACCTCGATCTATGTCACACTGTGCTTTTTTGATACATTTGAATGCGTCAAAAACGCGAGTGAATTACATGACGAAATAAAAAATATGACTTATACGCTTACCAATGAGCACTTGGCGGAGGCAAATGTTTAGTCTGGATATCGAGAGTGTGGTTGGAAATGGCCTGCCAGTTCTCAAAAGAGATGCTCAGCTGATGAATTCTGGAGGGCGCTTGAGCTTGGTGAGCGAGAGCAGAACGTGATAGCGTAATCCGAGTCCCTTGCACGACGCCTTCTCCATTGCTAGCTTCTCGTCAGTTCTCAATGCGTGCCTCAATCGTGCCGTATAGGAAAATGATCCACTGTGCACATAACACTGGCCATTTTCTAGAATACGTACTGCTATCCTAGAATACCTACTGCACGTGCAGTTTCAAGTTTACGCCATAATGCTGTCTTCTGTAAATCAGCTAAGGTCCCACTACGCGTATACTCAAGGCAGCACGCGAACCCATGCAGCTGCTCATTCTCTTGGTGGTTTTGCGACTGATTGATTGATGATTTGTGGGGTTTAACGTCCCAAAACCACGATATTATTATGAGAGACGCGTTTTGTAACTGATGATGGCTGAATATGTCTGAGCGCTTTGTAATGGGTGGACCTCTAGAACGCACACTCGCTGCGCAATTCACATGTTATGACACCTGGCCCGATTCAACACTTCTGCCAGGCAATCTTACATACATTAAGAAGGCTCTTTCTACCACATTACATTCATATGCATGGCGTTTTTTTTTCGAAGCTGTTTCTATCAATATCGTGTCTTTGTGATAGTACACCTGCTTGCGTTTGCCACTGATATATATATATATATATATATATATATATATATATATATATATATATATATATATATATATATATATATATATATATATATATATATATATATATATATATATATATAGGCAGGCATGGTGGTTGCATGGCCCTAGCGTTGCATATTGTCACGGGGTCGTGACGTGGCCGAAGACAGGAGACTTCGTGTTCGGATCCAACTGTTTATTTGGGCGAACCTGTGCCCAGCAAACGGAAAGTCCGATTACAGCAGCAGTCTTGCACAGATAGCAGTCTCGGACTGATAGCGGCGAACGGAGCGTCGGCCTTCGTTCAACAACTGACTTGCGGCGAAGCGCGTCGGCATTTACACTCTTGCCATCGAATGTTCTAGCGTTATCGCTGGCGGTGGCGTAGGTTCCAGAACAATCTGTACCGTTCGCACAGTGGGCGTGATCTTATCGAAATGATCTACTACAGTCCGGAACCTTCTCGAAAACTGCAGGCGCGGTTTGCGCTGAGAATCGTGTGGTGTTTTGGGACGATAACGAAAACTTGGGAAATGGAACGTGACATTGCCCTCCTCTGAAAAAAAGGCATCGTCCCGATGCTTTAACTAAAGATGAAAATACAATAATAATGCAAGAAAGTACAATGAATAAATTACGATGAAACAATAATACCAAAAAACACTGTTTTAGTTTGTTAACGCGCATGAAACGGCTTGAGGCGCGCGACATGCACGACTTCAGGTCGCGATCGGCGTCGTTGAGAGTTCGTGATGCCGTCGGGGACAACCTCGTAATCAAGTGGGCCGAGACGTCGAACCACCCTGTACGGTCCGAAGTAGCGTCACAGAAGCTTTTCACTTAGTCCACGTTGGCGTATCGGCGTCCACACCCAAACACGTTCACCGGGCTGGTATTCCACGAAGCGTCGTCGAAGGTTGTAACGGTGGCTGTCTGTCGTCTGTTGATTCTTGATACGGAGACGCGCAAGTTGTCGGGCTTCTTCGGCACGCTGAAGGTACTCGCTCACATCGAGGCTTTCTTCGTCGGTGACGTTGGGTAACATGGCATCGAGCATCGTTGCCGGGCTCCTTTCGTAGACCAATTTGTATGGAGATATCTGCGTCGTCTCCTGCACCGCCGTTTTGTATGCGAAGGTCACATACGGAAGAATGGCGTCCCACGTCTTGTGTTAGACATCGACGTACATTGACAGCATGTCGGCGATCGTCTTGTTAAGCCGCTCGGTGAGGCCGTTGGTCTGTGGGTGGTACGCTGTCGTCCGGCGGTGGTTTGTTTGGT